AAATTTGTTACGCTTTTGTTTTGATAAATTTTGTTTCATTATTATTATCGTTATCGCGAGTCAACAAAATTGTTTTTAATTAAAATAATGTTATTGATATATAATTTATCATTGTTTAATTTCTGATTATTACAAATAAATATCACTTTCGGAATTACAAATAAAAATAATTTTTGACTTTAAGAATAAATTAAATTTAAGTAAAATACGTGTAATAACATTCCGTTTGTTTCATGATTGGTTTTGGTTTTAGTCAATATGTAAATCTCTCTCTTTAACCTCGCCGAGAAAAATTGGCTCTTGTATCTTGTTTGCTTAGCGAATAGCGGAGATAATCCATCGTGGCAAAAACTTGCTTTCTAAATTGATCGGAAAGTCATGTACACACATTTTTTCATCAAGGCCGCATTTTGTAGTTTCTCAGCGAGGACATCGATCGCACAGTCGTCCTTTTTGTCACTTCTTTCTATGACCGATCGTATCCTCTTATACATGTGCAATCTCACCGTGGGCGTTCTCAGTGGAAGTAAATTCGCGGCGAAACGCAGTTTCGTGTTACACGTCGAGTGGAAGCACTTAACGGACGTATGAAAAGAAACTGGGAAGTATCCGTGTTTGAAACGAGATACCGACAGCATCTTTAAGGATATCGGCTGATATTTCCATGGGGATCGATTGCTTCGTAACAGATTTCCCTCTGTCCTTCGAATCTTCGATTATCGGAATTGGATTTACTGGTAGTCTTTAGGGAATGTAGACGATATTTCGAGCTGCTGATAAATATGAGGTATTACTCGGAGAAATTTAGAGAGGTGAGTTGTTACATTCAATTTAATATCGGATTATCATGTAGCGCGCATTACTAGAGAGAAACACCAATATCCGGCTGTTATTACGTGGATGTGGAAATTAATATAGATACGTATTAAGCGACCGATATGTATTAGCTTAGGTAGATAGATCTCTTCATATTAATGTGATGTGTGACGTTCGACGATTAAGATTTCCCCTAGAGAGGCTTTATGACCGAATATTACATTCACGCGAAGGTCATGTTCGAGTCAAACCAACGATTAAGATTCGCGAGTAAAACGAGCGATACGCAACGTGAGATAATTTTTCTGCCTAATGTTAACATTGCATGGGAATGGAGTCGTTCGTTGTCATGAGTGAGACGAATAATCGCGTTTTCTCGCTCGCAGCTGTCACGGGATATAAATGACAATTCCCCTGGACACGACAATCCGGCAATCCTTATTACATAATGGTATTAACAACGCCGGTCCCGCAATAGGGGATAATGGATCGATTGGAGGACGATTTTACAAGAGAAAAAAGAAAAAAAAACTATTCATTCAACGCTGACAAAACGATACGAGATTTAACGATGCCGAGCGCGCGGAGTTTTCGGAACCCGATTGCATCGGTATTAATTATCGTTAATCCTGATTAATTCAATTCTCTTTTTGTCGCCCGCACCATGGCTAGAGTTAGTAATCGTGAAAGATCAAAGAGAGAATTCTTGACATTACATCTCTTTGCAATTAAATCTGATAATAAAATTCTATCCAAGTTCGTTTGGAGTAATTTTTCATTTGTACGACAGAGCCAGTTTAATATCCAGCAATATTATATTATCCCGCTTCACAAAAAACGCGCAAATATTGTTAATATCGTTATATTTTAATTGTGGAGAATTTTTTAAATGCAATTATAAAAATATTTAAAACATAATCGATAAAGCACACAAACGGGAAGTCCCTTTAAATGATAATGTTTCCGATGACTGTAATTGGTGGAACGATACAAAATACTGAGAATCGAAAGGGAAACTAGAAAGAAAGAGAAAGAGGAAGGCGTTATTTCGAGATTATCCAGGGATATCGCCCGCGCTGGTCGCATCCTGATTGTGATACGATCGAACGATGTAATATATTGCACCCGCGTGCGCTATCGTCATATAACGAATTCTGGAACGGATTTCAGATTCCAACACCTGCGATTGTTATATCCATGGTTGTATCTCGCGATCATGTCGATAGGAATTCCAAAGAGAAAAATTCCGCGTCCAAAAGGGATGATCATTGTGCCTCGGATAGCTGAGCGCATGATAATGTCTTTCTTGGTGCACGTGTTGTAAAAATGAAAAGAGAAAAAGCGGTATCAAGCTTCGCGACACGAAGCGAATGTCGATCACAAAGAATACACCGAATCAAGAAGACTTTATTTTGACATCATGAAAGTTAAAAATTATGATTTTTGGTTATGAATTTTGATTTTTTGTTTCATGTGTTCCTTGAGATCGGACACTTAAAGCATAAAAGATAATAAGAAATTAAATAAAAAATTAAAAAAAAATAAAATTATTCCGGATTAGAGGATTCGAAATACAACATCATCATCGTTAAAATGACATCAAAATAATAACAAAATGATTACTGAAAGTCAGTGATGCCTTCTAATAAATATCTTAAATTACAGACATTTGAGATGAAGATTCGAGAAAAAGAACTTTCTACGAGAGTTGGATCAGTAATTATATATTCTTGGTATTATCTCTATATATTCTTGATAGATTGAAAATTCCGTTAAGAAATCGTAATGAATTTACTAAAAAGTTGCAACGCGACGAGCTTACGTTGTAATGAAAAAAATACATAGTTGTTTATTTAAAAAAATTATTCGGTATATATTTTTTTAAGGATTAATTCGTAATAAAAGAAAATACATCGTTGCTTTAAAAAAATATATATGCATACTGGATAATTTTTTAAATAAGCAACTATTTGTTTTTTTCCATCAACTGATTCATCTCATCATTCTGTTCCTAAAAGTATTAAGACACAGTTATCAAAAGTTAACAGTTTACGAGTTATTTAACATTTTATGTTAATATATATATATATATA